ACAAAAACAACCAGAAAACAATGAGCAAGCCACACATGGTCTTGTCCCCGACCATCTATGAGAGAGAGGGGAAGGAGGCAGCGAAGGATGAAAGAAGAATCACAATCTCAGATTCCAAGTTCTATTACAAAGCTACAGCGATTAAAAAAAAAAAAAAAAAAAAAAACAATGGAAAGAATATCCCCCATAAATGGTAACATGAAAAATAAAACTTATAGCAGTAAAGAGATAATTGTTTTACTGCATATGTAAAAGATAACGAAGGTATTTTTTTGTCAGATTGCCCAGGCTGGCTTTAAACTCCTGAGCTCAAGTGACCCTTCTGCCTCAGCCTTCCAAGTAACTGGGAGCCATAGGCACAGCACATCCAACAAATGGTTTTCCTATAACCATTTTCTCCTCACTCATTTGCTCACCTATGGACACATACAAATTACGTACTGAAACTAGAAACACTAATCTGGATGTATCTTGGCCTGTTCCTATCACTCACATTCTGGCCACTGAACCAGTGGAAACATAATCTTTCTGTGGTATCAAAGTCAAGATTTCTAGGCCATGAAAGCAGCCTTTATAGAAAGAATATATGCTGTAATGGAATTCTTCCCAGCGGCTGTCTGTGACAGTCGGTAGACCTGTGACTCTGCAAGCCTCATTTCCTTGTCCAACAGCCTCGCTGGATTTAATAAGAATTCCAGGCACTATTTCTGGGATGCCAAGCCCAGGACTGGCATTCATTCATGCCCCAAAGTGGAAACTCTCATTGTTCACCTGGGAAATGGTGGACGCCGTGGGCCTGGAGCTTATGGAAGGGATGTAGCAAGCATACACCAGCCCCAGGCTCAGGTTCCACTTTCCACTGACAGACAATACAGTAGGTAAAAATCCTGACAGTTTGTTCAAAAGGTGCTCTCAAAACATTTTTGCAAACTGGCAAAAAGGGGCATTTTTCCAGACACTTTTCAAACACCAATATAAAGAACACAACTTTCTTAGAATGGTGTTCTTTTTAAGGGTTGTTTTTTTTTCCTGGCACTCTTATTGGTTGGTATTTTAGGTATTTGTTTTCTAGCATATGTACTCGGTGAAAAATAGGTCAAAGAATACAGAAGCATGCAAAATTAGAAGAGAAAACAATAGGCAGTGGTAGCTCCTCCTGTCCTCAGAGACCAGCACAGCTGAGGGGCTGCAGAGCATTCCGTACAATGGTGTGGCACTGCCACAGCCATAAGTTGCACCTGCGTGACGCATACTGAGACCTGAAAGGTCACCGGGGTCTCTCTCAAATACTCCACAAAATAGAGGACTCCCTCCCATGACAGTGCATGGTTAGCACCTCATCCACACATTTTGCAATTTTCATCATGGATGCCCTGGAATTCTCACGACTTGATGTACTTAGCTCTTCTCCTTCAAAGCCACATAAATAGTTCATAATGCTCTGTTGTTACCAATAGCCGTGCAGTCAAGGTTTGAATTCACTCAGATCTCTTTCTTATTTGGATTTTTTTCAGGGTCAGTCTTCCTAAATGAGATATAAGGCCAACCACTATAAAAGTATTTATGACTTGATGATATCCGGTAAGTGTTGCTCTCTAAAAGAAAGGTGCCATCACACTACAGTGATAGGGCTCATCCATGTTCACAGCAGCACAACTCATATTAGCTAAATCTTGGAAGCAGCCTCTATGTCCACCAACCGATGACTGGATACAGAAAATGTGGTGTTTATACACAATGGAGTACTACTCTTCCCTAAAAGATAAATGAGTCATTTGAAGGGAAAAATATGCACCTTGAGAGCATAACGCTACGTGAAATAAATCAGGCACACAAGCTGAGATATCAGGTTTCTCTTATTTTGAGAAATCCAAAATATAAATAGGGAGCAAAATAAATGATAGATAACGGGAAATAGGGGGACAGGTCTTTTTGCAAATGGGAAGGGGACCAAGAGATGGAGGGAAAAGAGGGAGCAAAAGGAAAGGGAATAAAGGAACTGAGAAGTGCTACACACATGAACCAGCTCCCCGTGAGAAACAGTCATTATGTACTGCAAACATGCACTAATAAAAACTGAAAAATAAAAATGGTCTTGCCACGTTGCCCTTCCCCAAAAAATAGGTGCCATTCTCTCCATAGCAGCTCTAGCACTGATATCTTCAAGAAACATCTTTTGAACACTTATATTTTGAAAAGCACAGCATTAACTGAACCTTATACTAATAGTATACCCAGAACTACACTGTATGGATGGAAATAGCATCCCCAGGATATACACTCCCAGGACTACATTGTATGGATATAGCATTATTTATTTAACCAGCCACCCTATTATGAATATTTAGAATATTCTTTCATTTTTCACAATTATAATAATGCTGCAATACATAACTTTTTTTTTTTTTTTTTTTTGGTTTTTCTCCGGTACCGGGAACTGAACTCACAACGTTGCGCTTGCCAGGCAGGCACTTTTGCCGCTGAGCTAAATCCCCAGCCCCTGCAATACATAATTTATTTGGTAATATATTTTTGCACATTCATACAAATATTTTTTATGATTTCTAAAGTGAAATCATTGGACCAAAGGGCATACATAGTTTAAATTTCATTAACTGTTATTTATTTAAAACAGTGATTAAAGAAAGGAAAGCATGCTAAATATCATCTCTCATCTCTATTTTTCTTAGGGCCTAGGATATAGCTCAGTGGCATAGCGCCTGCCTGGTAAGCATGATGTTGTGAGTTCAATTCCCAGTACCAAAAAAAAGAAAGAAAGGTTTCTTAGTGAGTCTTTTTTTTTTTTTTCTATTTATGACCCAGGTACCTGGAGAAGCACAAGTGTTGCTGTTGCCAGCTAAGTTTCTGAGAGTGATTCCAGTTTAGTTTAGTACTCTTTCCCTCCTCTTTCCTCTCTTCCTCTTGTCCTCTCTCCCTCTCCCCATCTATCCAAAAAGGTATATGCAGTACCTACTTTGTGCCAGACAGGATATGAAAAAGCGGGTGTTTTAAAACACAGCAGAGACAATGATAGAAATGAATGGAGACAAGAGGAAGTCTGGATGGAGGAAGGAGGAGAGATGGCACGAGGGCTGGTATCAAGAAAGGTTTAGGGGAGAGAATGTGGGAGATAAAAGATCATTTTTCAAGGGCAAGGGAGAGACAGCAACCAAGATAAGAGGAATTTTGGGAGTTAAATGGATAAAAATAAAAGTCACTGAGACCTTCTGCTGTATCTTGCTATTTGTCACACATACACACACACTCCAGACCTGAAATTCCTCGATCACGATTTAAAATATTGTTTGCTGCTTTTCTGAATGTTGAGGAGAGGATCACTCTAAAAGCACAGCCTGGATCACAAGGTAGCCAGCCCCATTATATCCAGTTTATACCACTGGCTAATACATTAGTATTAAAACAATGTCATTCCCACTAAAGAACTGTGCACATTCTCTACAAATGAGCCGTCCTTCTGCCCCCAGCTATTCCTTGCCACTGCTGTCCATTCATTCTTTCAGCGGTTACTGAGTGGGCACTAACTCACCGGAGCCGTACTAACCCACATGTACAGCAAGGAACAAAACAGACTCGGTCCCCACGCTGTGTGTTCTAGATGGACAAGCAGACACTGAAGAATGTGAGTGTGCTGGGTCAAGCCACACTTCCAAGGAGGTGACCCCTGAGTGACGCTCTGGAGTGTCATGCCAGCTGAAGGGCCAGCAAAGGCAAAGATGCTGAGGCAGGAAAGCTGGCTTGTTTAGGAGATGGAGACAAGGTCAACATCAGAGGCACAGAGCAGAAAGGGTGACGGGCTCAGAAAAGGTGGCAGGGGCCGATCTCACAGGGCCTTGGTGCCTGTATGAGGAGTACACTTTTCTTCCCTGTCTCACATCCTTGAAGCCCCCAGCAAAGGTTCTTCAGACTAAAGCCTGGGCAGAGATGACAGCAGTGGCCTTACCTATGACGGTAATCTCCTCCCCAGCTCCAGAGGGCGCAGAGGGTAGGGCATGTGGAGGAGACAGGTGGCCACAGGCACCAAGGGACTCTCCAGCCTCTGAGTCTCCCTGCACATGTGCCATGTGGCCAGAAAGCCCAGCATGATTCAGCGCAATGAGATTTCATAGACACAAAGCATTCCAAGAAAAGATTCAAGCCTAGACATGATGACAATGCAGCGGCGGCGCCCAGCTTTCTGAGAGAGGTATGGGGCACAGTCACTGTGAAAACCTCCACTGCCACCCTCATGGGGAGTAAGAGATGGATGATTCCAGAAGGTGTCCCAGAATGCTGAGCTCACATCCCTTCTTGCTGAGATTTTGTGGGTAAGAGATAAGACAGGAAGGGATTCTCACCTGCTCTCATCCGTGTCTGGGATTGTCAACTGTCACTGATACCCTTTGAGGAAGGATAATAGGACTTCCCAGAACTTACCTGGAAATGCAAGGAACCAATTGAGACCTCATCCCATGTCTCTTCTTCAAATGGTCTTGTTCCATTCATAATGATATTGGCCCGGAAACGTGAGATGAGATCTTTCATCAGGAATAATTCCTCCTTTCCATTCTCATCACTGTTTTAGACATATCAAAATGACTAAGTACACAGATAATTGGGTTGTTGTAGTAATAATTCAACATGCCTGCCATGCAATGCCTGACTTTACCAACTCTACTCTGGCCTAACGTCCAGGTGCTCAGAACAAACTTACACTACAAGTGTAAGGCTAAGAGACTCTCCTGTAAAGACATATTAATGCCCCCCATCCTAGATATTATCCCTCTTCCAGGCAGATGCTCACAAGAACCAGGCAAATGGTGAATATGTGTAGGCTGAAAAAATGAAGGGCCTTAGAAACCAGATAAATGCAACCAAGTGAACTAACTTCTGAGAAAATAAGATCTACAAAGTGGGACAGAACAAAGCATTTAAAGAACTGAATTACCAGTCACCTACAAAGCACCAAGGCCAAACATTCTTTTGGATACTGAAACATCATAAAGAAACACAGAGGCTAATATTCCTAACTTCCATCCTATTTGCAGTTTTAGCCAGCATTTGCTATTTGTATCCCTCTTGTTTAAATTTTTATTACCACAAAGCTTCCATGCATGCCTACACAGAAATGCATTGAAGATAGATCTTAAAACCCCCAGTGAAAAAGTACACTCTGCATGATCCTGTTGTATTAAGTCCAAAAACAAGTAAAATTACCTACAGTGAAGGAAATTGGAACAGGGGTTAATCCTTCAGTGGAACTGACCTAAAAGCAGTACAAGGGAGTTTCCTGGGGTATGTTCTCTACTTGATCTAGATACTGGTTACATGGGCGCATATGTCTAACAATTCATTCATTTGCACTTTGTGAACCTCAGTAATTTTTTTTAATGAATTGAGGTTGGAGAGATCCTTGAGCATAGTGGAATTGCGCTGGAGACAGAACTAAAAGGCCACAGGCTGGGGGAGAAGGACTGTCTCAGGGATAGCCCAGTCCCTTCCAGCAAAGAGCACATGAAAAGCCAGGGACCAGGTCTAGCTTCTCCACAACTACATGCAGCACCCACGACCTCTGAGGACTGTGGCATCCTCATCTGAAATGAGAGGGTTTTTTTAAGACTTTCCATTCCGCAAGCAGGGCCTGGAGGCACACATACACCTGTAATCCCAGCACTCAGGAGGCTAATGCAGGAGGATTGCTGGGAGTTCAAGGCCAGTATGGGCTACATAGTGAGTTCAAGGCCAGCCTGAACTACTTAAAGAGACCCCGTCTCAAAACAAACAGGCAAGCAAAAAAAGACTCCATTCCTCTAATCTTTTGATTCCAGATTTACTCTCTGGGTTGTATATGCTTCCTTTGTGTTTTATAAAAGGGGAAGTCTTCTCTCTGAAAGCTACGGTGGTTAGCGTGCAAATGATAGTCCTTCAAGTCTGCAACAAAGACATACCAAGCAAAGGCCACAGGGAACCTCCCACGTACAGTACCTGTCACAGGCTCTGTACTTCTCCCCTTTGACTATCTGCCCCTCCCACTAGTCTTGCTCTAAACCAGCTGGCAGGAAATGTTGCCCCCTCCTGGTAAGAATCAGGGCTGCGGCAAGCCTGTCCCCAACTCCTATCTTTCCACATCAAGAACCACAGGCAAAAAAAAATAAAAATAAGATGTGTTATGTACATGTACCAACTCCTCATAATGAATGTAATCATTATGTGCTACAAGCATACTAATAAATACTGATTTTTTTAAAAAAACCAAATCTTACTACTGAGGGGAGGGACCCAGAAAGCTGCAGACCCCTGGTCTCCTGGTCTCAGTACTTGGACAAAAAGGTCCCTACACGCTAGAAAAACTCAGTGAACACTGAGGACTCTGAAGCTGCATCATAATTCTGCTCCCAAGGAGGTCAAGTTGGCCCACCACAGGAGAAGGCTGTTTTATGCTTTCACCAAAGATTATAAACAAGAATTATCATCAGCAGCCCACTTTTATAGAGGCCCAGGAGGGACCACTGACCACTTTCATTAAGCATATTTGTGCATTTTCAAGAGTCCACACCTTCCCATGACCACATGGTACATGACAGTCCCAGGATGCCTGGCTGCAGGTGCTCCTAGAGGTGTGGAACCACCTCGTAGGCCTGTGCGCTAGGAATGTGGAGCCCGTGCCCAGTACGGCTCTGGCATAACAGCTGGGTTATTTTCCCTAATGGCCCGGCTATTTGGTATTTCAGTTTCCTTTAAAGAACAGCAAAAGAATTGGCCCAACCAAATCCTTTCCAGGGCTGAGCCCACCTGCGGACACTCTCAGTGTCCTCAGGAGAGCACCGTGCCGGGGAAGAGAGGCAGGGGTGCTTGCTCTATCTGTACGCCTGCAATCCTACATGAAAGGCTTTCATACCTATTCTTTTTCAATCCTCAAAATGACTGTGAAGTAGGCCAGGGGTCCAAGGGGACAGTGGGAAGGTAGGCAATGAAAGTGGGGCACATTGGTGATAATTCAATTAAAACAAGTATTAAGAAACAGAATGATTAATAAATGAGAACTAAAGGTTCTCCACTGGGAATCTTGAAGGTGTCAAGGAGCACCGAAGATGCTGTAGTTTAGATCTTTAGTGTATCCCACAGGTCTGTGTGGTAAAGACTCGGTCCCCAGTGTGGTATTACTGGGAGGTGGTGGAAACTTTAAGAGGTGGAGCTTCAAGGCAGTCTGGGTTACTAGAAGTGTGTTCTCAAATGGGATTGTGGGGCTCTCATCTCCTCCTGTTTTTCCCCGCCCTGCTGTGAGATAAGTAGGGTTCCTCTGCCCTGTGCTCCCACCATGATGTGCTACCACAGGCCCAAAGCAACAGGCCAACGGACCAGGGACTAAAATCTCTTTAAAACTACTTAAACTTCGTTGTAAATTGGTTATCTCAGGTATTTGTTACAGTAACAGCACTCTAACATAGCAGATAGATGAGAACCCCTGGAAAGATGAATGGGAATTGACCAAAACCATTTGCTGACTTTTTTCTGAGCCTCAGTTTCTCATCTGTAACTTAAAGGTCTGGATTCAAGGTCTCTCAGATCCTCCCTCCCCAGGCAGGTGTCAGGCCTTGCTCCCAGGGGCAGGTGTGTTTCCACTGGTCTTCTGTCTGGAAGACATCTTACCTGGTGTTCAAGTGCTGATGAAGTTCCAGAATGCTTGATGTGTTTATCAGTAGGTACTGTGCCTCATTCACCAGGGAAAGGGTGGCTGTTATGCCAGCAAACTGATCTAAAAGTGAAGGGAGTATCGAAGAGTTGATTTTCTCAAAAGCATGAAGCTTCATTTCCATAGATTTACATTTTCAAAAGGCATATGCTATTTTTACCAGGTGAGGTGGGCACTGACAAAAAATGACAATGTTCTAAGCATGGCTTAAATCTCCCCAAAACCCAAAAGGAAGGTGAAATTATCTGGAGAAAACAGCAATAATAAAATGCTGAAGTGACATTGTTCCAGCAAGGGAGACTCGGCGATTCTTAGAAGAGGAAAGACTAGTGGACTGGAGCCCCTCTCCCCGCAAACAGGACAAGGGAGAGGAGCTTGACAGAGCAGCAGGCCCATTAGGAGCTTCTGAATCTAATTAAGAAAAAGATACTAACTTTGAAATAAGTGGCAGAAGATTTAAAACTACTGAAAGGAAAAAGATAAAACTATTGAAAGAAAATTTCAAAGCCCATCAGAATTGCTGGCAGCCTGGCTTTGTTTGATGGGCCCACCCTCATTATCATTATTCAAGCTGTCGGTAAAAAGGGTTGGCTGGGCCAGGACCTAGTAAGCCACCTCCAGACTATGGACTATGGACCCCGGAGTACACAAGAATGGTCCAGGCTGTCCACTTCCATCTGTCCTCTTTGCTAAAAGGGCTCTGTCAGAGAGAGGAGGTGCACCCTCCACAAAGGCCCTTCTGGTACTTCACAGAGGGGAGGCCATGGGTCTCCGAAGGCACACTGCCCCTGAGGGCCAAACTGAAAATCTCCAGAGTGGCAAACAAAAGCCTCATTCAAAACCCTGGAGCTGGGGCTGAGAAAATAAAGTCTCCAAAGCTAGGGTGAATGATCCTCCTATAGGTCAGATGGATTCTGATTCTTTACTAACCACAAAACTTGCAGAACCTCATTAAATTGTCAAGGGACAGATGATTAAAGGCATTTTAATGCTAGATCCCTGTGCTTTGGTCAAGGACCTCGGAAGGTTTGAGTGACAGTGTGTTAACTAAGTCCCTCCTTCCCCAGCTCTTTATTACTTAAACAAGGTTTGTCACAAGAGAGTGATGCTGACCCTAAGGGACAGTCACTCACCCACAGGAACCAATGGCAGGGAGTCCCACTGGCTCAGTAAGAGATTCATCTTCAACAATTTTTGCTCTTTATGTTTAATAATTATTTTTCAAAATATACAATATACTTACATTGCTTTGATCAACTTAGACTGTTAAGAACTCAACCCTGAAGAAATCTCCCAATACCTAGACCCTTAGAATCTCAGCAAGCTTAAAAAGTTTTTTAGACATTTCAACTTATGTTTTAGTTTTAGAGAGATATAATAAAGCAATCAATGAAAGATTTCTGAGCATGCAACAGATAACATTAAGATAAAATTCTGTTGAGGAAGTAGAAAAAGCACAAGGTAAAGAAGGAAAATAAAAGAAATAAAATTTCTTGAATGACCAATGATGTTGAACATTTTTTCATGTATTTATTTGCCATTTGTATTTCTTCATCTAAGAAATGTAAGAAACTGAAAGAGTAAATAAGATCCAAAAGGTACAATAGATATCATTAAAGGAAAAGAAACTGCACAAAAGGAAAGAACAACTGGGATGAGAGAAAGGAGAAAAGAAGGAAAGAGGGGGAAAAAAAGATATGTATATATATACAAGATAGCTATACACAAGATAGCTATGCTAATTTCTATTAGTTCATTGAAAGGAACAGTTAGCGCTTACATTGTTTGATCAATTTTGCATGCTTATATCTGGTAATCTGAGCAACTACTTTGAAGATAATAATATGCAATATAACAACCATTGTTAATATCCTATCATCTTGTTTTGAAATTCTGTATTGTTTTTATTGTTTTTTTTCTCTTTAAAATAAAAAAAAATTTCTGATGACTAAAAAAATTTCTGATGACTAAAAAAATTTCTGATGACAGTTTATTCATACACACACACACACACACACATATTGTAAATGAATACTCATGAAAGTAAAATTGCTGTGGTGTTGAAACACTAGTTTTACTGAAAAGAGCCCCTGTATGACAATGTTTACAATGTGCTAAAAACCATACCTTTTGCAAATGTTTATAACATTCTTAAAATTTAGATAATAACATAAAAATATATAAGGAGGAAATGTAGTTTTAAAAAATTCTTCCAAGGTACATCAACACAAAAATGTTTGAAGTCTAGTGCAGGCCCAGAGAGCTCTGCACCATTACTGGCATGCTTGATGCATAGTCAGAGATGACAGTCCCTGCCCCTGTACCGAGTGGGTGACAGGCTTTCTTCTCTGTACCCACCACCTTGCCTCACCCAGACCTCAGTCTCCCACTAGCACACTCCCAGCCACCACCCACAGGCCTCTTTGCTCCCCAAGTCTCCTGTCTGAGGCAGCTGCCCCACCAAGCCAGGAGTGTCTTTCAGACACAAGTGATGTCACCAAACTCCCCAGCTTAGAAGTCTCCAAAGGTTCCTGCAGCCATAAATAAGATATTGGCTCCGCATGCATCCTTTCCCCCAGCTTCTCCATCATCTCCCTGCACCCTAACAATGACTCATGATGGAAAAAAGATGACACAACTCTTAAAAGTCCGAGTAGTTAAGGTCCACACATCCGAGACCCAAGAGATTTTAGATTGCCAAGATTTCATTTCTATTTGGAGACAGAGCTAAAAATTAGAAACCTGACTTTTTTTCTTTCTGGATCCAAGCTGAGGACACTGAAGTTATTCCTGTTTTTATTTAACAAAACTGAATGTGCTTCTAAGCCCACAGGACTGGGCTGAATCGCTGAGCAGAGGCAAAGCAGCTGGCATGATACCCTCCTTGGCCTTCCTCCATAGGAGATTGCGGAGCCCACTGGTCTCACTGACCCAGAGCCACCCCGGCAGCTTCTTGCTGAAGGGTGATTGCTCCTGCGTTATGCACATGAACAAGTCACCCTGTGAGGACATTTCATGGGCTGTTTTTGATGTGTGCAGAGTAAACCAGTGTTCCTGCCCCTTGAGAACCCATCCCAAATGTAATAATACCTTTTCCATGTTTCTTCTTTGCGTTTCGTTGAAAATTTGAACTTTGTTTGATTAAATGACAGGGACGGCCCAAAAACTTTGACAACCAGCTTGAAATTTTTTCTCCACAATCATATGTATTTACCCTGGGGAGAAAAACAGGAAAGGAGAAAGGGAAGGAAGGAAGGAAGGAATAAAGGAAAGGAAATAGAGAAACAGGGTGAACTTCTATGTATTTTTAAAATAATTATCTACAGCACAAAAAGTCAGATTAAAATAAAATAAAATATGCCCTAAGTCCCCAGGGAGAAGGCAGCTGGAAGCAGCAGGCAGCTTGAGGGCTGCCAGGAGATCAAGGTATAGGAAGACCTACCCTGTGCAGCTTGAGAGAAGCTTTTGGACCGGATAAAACACTGTAGACATTCCTCTTTATAATCATTTTTATATTAATTATTGACCCTAAGGAGCACACAGCTTAGAATTTGAGATCTTCCTGAGAGGCATTTTGCTTGAAGAAGCCCTTCAAATGTGTCCTGGTTTTTTATACTGAACCTGACTGAAACATTCTCCCTCACAGCCAGCTCATGTAGCTGACATGTTTGGTTTGCAAAACGAACACTGCACCTACAAAATACCCAAATAAGTACATTCATTGATCCAATGTTTTAAAACTTGGGAATCCTCTAGAATTTTTCGAAATGTACATTATTGAAACTTATGATGCAAAATTGCTAATATCGTCTCTTGAGATTATAAGATAATATTGTTGATAACTTATCTTATCTTTAATTTTTACTGGGAAAAACAGTTGCCTTCCTGTTCTGGGAGAGGAAGAGAACAGGACTCCTTTGTAGTTCCCTCTCTCCTGTGCTTTGAAACATTTTACCCTGTCCATGTTTTTTACACTGAGTACCCATGGTTCCAAGCGGAAATGCATCTAGGCCCTAGCCATCAGAAAAGCTCTATTAACCAGAAGAAAGCACTTCTCCCGGATACAGCAGAGTGAAATGAACAACCAGGGCTGAGCCTGATAAATAATTACTCATCTCCCTCCAGCAGTAAACTTCTATTGGAAGGTGAGTAATAGCAACATAACAAAAATGTTGCCCCAAATTCATTGCCCTCATTGAAAATGTGCTGTAATTAATGTTTAAATTGGCAGAAACAGTTAAATTAGTGCACATGCTGGCAAGAATCTAGAGTATGTTCTCAATTCTTCAGCCTTCAGGTTGGAGATCAGTGCCTGTGATCTTCAGTTGTGTTGGCCCGGTCATTGCCCAACATCCCGCCCTTTTCTGGGGGGATAGCCCTTCAGAGCCCCAGAAGGATCCTCTGCCTAGGAGCACCAATCACTCAGGCCCAATTTGGATGTAGCTCTAGTATCTGAGTATAAAATATCATGTCATGATAGGTAAGGTTGTGTAGGTTCACAGCAGTGGAAATAGAAATGTAATTTGATTTGATACCATGGAGGATCACCAACAACCAAACATACCCTACTCACTACTGAGTTCACTGCAGCAACTAATAGGCAATTCGTACCTTTAAACCTTTTTAGTACATAGAAATCCTTAGTGTACTGTTCTCTAGTCAGCTGATGTAGTATTGGTGGGAATTTGGTTGGTACTAGATGGGACAGGTTTCCCATGGTTGTAAACCCTGCTATTCTACAATTTCAGGTACAGATAGGATTTAGATTACAAGGGACATGGACATTTGATGTATTCAGTGAACAGAATGATAACCACATACCATCAAAATATAAAATAGAAAAGTCATGACATTCAACCTCACTCTACATTTCCCAGATTTTAGCAGATGATTTATCATCAACAATGCAAATTAGGTAGTACTGCAAAGCTCTTTGTATATAACTTGTGGGTTGTCACCTGAATGCTCCAAGTTGGAAATCTGAGGGATGCTTTGAATTCCTCTCAGCCTCGGCATCCTCATCTACCCATCAGCTTGTGTAAGTGGTGTATTTCCAGAATATTTATTTGAGGCCTATCTGATTTTCTCTCTGACCCTGGTCCAAGCCTCCATCTCCTCTCACCCGTGTTGCCAACTCAGGTGCTTAGCCAGCCTTCCCACTTAGACCCTACCCCTGTCCAGTTACTCTACACCCACCAGGCAGTCTTTAAAAACTATGAACTAAGTGTCTTCCCTCACCACAGAGCTCCTCTGAACTGCTGCAGAAGCCTCTAAACTGTTTCCCCTGATTCTCACTCCATACTCTGAACCCAGCTTTTTCCAGGCTCTGCAGGGAGAACATAGGAATTCCAGGGAGAGCTCAAAATAAATAAACAAATAGAATATGCTAGGAATAATAAACAGGAAGGACAGGAATATGGTCAGACAGATGAAGAGGGAGGGGCCAACTGCTGGCTTGATCACGGGGTCTGCTGAGAAGAGGACTTTGGGGCAGAACTCTGACCGAGGGGAGACTAGTAAAGGGGAAGACCTGAGTTCTGTGAGTAAGAAATAGGGGAAGGCCATTCCAGGTAATGAGAACAGCAAGTGCAAAGCCTTGAGAAAGGAGTGTGCTTGGGAGGTTTGAAGAACAGCAAGGAGCCTACGTGGTTAGAGTGGATTGCACTGCCCACAGGATGAGGAGTGTGGCAGAGAACAGATCATACAGGGCAGTGCTTTCTTCACCCTCTGTGCCACCACGCCTACTGTAGCCAGGACTGTCACCTACCTTAGAGTCTTACCTGTCTGTACAGACTTTGCTTTGGCAAATCTGAGCCTGTTCACTCCCTTCCTCCAGAGGCACCTCTATGGGCTCCATCCCTAATGAACAAAAGGTAGAGACAAGTTTATCACCATAAATAAAATTGACAAACCATTATCCAACCTTATCAGAAAAGGAAAGAAAAGACTCAAATCCACACAATTAGGAATGAAAAGAGTGAAATCACAACAGACCCTGCAGAAATCCAGAAGATCATCTACACCTACTTTGAAAGCTTGTATTCTAATAAGATGGAAAATGCAAAAGAAATAGACAGATTCTTAGATCCATATGAATTACCAAAGCTGAATCAAGAAGATATAAAAATCCTAAATAAACCAGTATCAATCAGTGAAATCAAAGATTTGGTTAAAAACCTACTAACAAAGAAAAGCCCAGGCACTGACAGATTCACTACTGAATTCTACAAGAAATTTAGAGAAGACCTAAAACCACTACCTCTCAAACTCTTTAATGAAACTGAAAGGGAATCAATATTCCCAAATTCATTCCTGGAAACAAACATTAATTTGATACCAAAACTGGAAAAGGACCTAATTAAGACAGAAAACTACAGGCCAATCTCCCTAATGAACATAGATGCAAAAATTCTCAATAAGATACTGGCAAACAGAATGGAGCAAATCATCAATAAGATTATATACCATAACCAAGTGAGATTCATCCCAGGGATGCAGGGATGGTTCAACACACGTAAATCAATAAATGCAATACACCATATTAACAGAGCCAAGGACAAAAACCATATGATCATCTCAATAGATGCACAAGAAGCTTTCGACAAAACCCAGTACCCATCATAACAAAAACCCTACAAAAAATTGGAATAGATGGTCTTTATCTCAATCTGATAAAAGCTATCTATGACAAACCAACAGCCAACATCATACTAAATGGACAAAACCTCAAGCTTTCTCTCTAAAATCAGGAACAAGACAAGGATTCCACTGCCTCTACTTTTATTCAACATAGTCCTAAAAAATTTAGCCAGAGCAATTAGATGAGAGAAAGAAATAAAAGGAATAATGATAGGAAAGGAAGAAGTTAAATTATCATTACTTACAGATGACATGATAGTCTACATAGAAGACCCCAAAAACTCCACTAAAAAGTTGCTAGATTTAATAAGCAAATTCAGCAGCATAGCTGGGTACAAAGTCAACACTCAAAAATAAATAGACTTCCTGTACATGAATAACAAACTCACTGAGTGAGAAATTAGGGAAGCAACACCTTTCATGATAACATCCAAAAAATGAAATACCTAGGAGTCAATCTAACAAAGGATGTAAAAGACTTCTACATTGAAAACTACAGTACTCTGAAAAAGAAGATTGAAATGGATATCAGAAAATAGAAAGCTATCCCCTGCTCTTGGGTAGGAAGAACCAATATAGTAAAAATGGTCATACTTGCAAAACTGTTATACATATGTAATGCAATTCCAATCAAAGTTCCAAAAGCATATCTCACAGACTTAGAGAAAACAATCCTACATTTGGAACCAGAAGGGACCTAGAATAACAAAGACAATTTGGAGCAACAAAGGCAAGGAGGGGGCATTATAATCCCTGACTTGAAATTATACTATAAAGCTGATAAAAACAGCATGGTACTGGCAAAAAACAGACCTGAAAATCAACTGAACAGATTAGAAGATGCAGAAATAACTCCAAACATCCTCAGCCACCATATCTTTGACAAAAAGGCCAAACACATCAACTGGAAGAAGATAGCCTCTTTAATAAATAGTGCTGGAAAAACTGGCTCTGCACATGCCAAAGATTAAAATTGGACCAATATCTTTCACTCTGCACTAAACTAAATTTGAAATGGATCAAAGATCTAAATATTAAAACACCAACATTAAATCTGCTAGAAGATAGAATAGGTAAAACACTTGAATACATTGGTGTAGGCAAAAACTTTATGAATAAAACCCAAATTGCACAGGAACTATCACAAAGAATCAACAATTGGGATCTCATCTTATAAAAAGGCTTTTGCACAGCAAGAGAAATCACCAACAGAGTGAAGAGACAAGCCACAGTGTGGGAAAAAATGTTTGCAAGTTGTTCCTCATACAAAGGATTACTATCAAGAACATATAAAGAACTCAAAAAATTCAGACCTCCAAAATTTAAAGACCGAATCCAAAAATGGGCATTTGAGATGAACACACACTTCTCAGATGAAGAAATACAAGCAGCAAATAACTATATGAAAAATGTTCAACATCACTGGCTGTTCAAGAGGTGGTGATTATCAGGAAATCAACCAATAACAAATGCTGGCAGGGTTGTAGGGAATAAAGAACCCTTCTCCACTGTTGGTGGGAGTGCAGACTAGGGCAACTACTGTGGAAATCAGTGTGCAGATTCCTAAGAAAACTAGAATTGGAGGTCCCATTTGACCCAGCTATTCCCTTCTGGGTATTTTCCTAGAAGAGCTAAAAACATCACACTATAGTAATATATGTGCACTCCTGTTTATAGCAGCACAGTTTGTAATAGCTAGATCTTAGAAACAACCCAAATGCCCATCAACTGAGGACTGGATAAAAAAGATGTGGTTTTTTTATACAATAGAGTACTACTTGGCCATAAAGAAGGGTAAACAGGAGACTTTTATAGGTAAATGGATGCAATTTGAGATCATGCTCATAAGTGAAATAAACCAGACACACATGAGTAAACATTGTATCATCTCCCTAGTGTGAGAAGCTGAAAGAGTAAATAAGATCCAAAATGTACAATAGATATTGTAAAATGGGAAGAAATTTCAAAGGGAAAGAGAAACTGGGATGGGAAAATGAAGAAAAGAAGGAAGGGGAAAACAAAATAATTATATATATATATATATATATATATATATATATTTTAAGATAGTTATACTAATTTCTCTTAGTTCATTGAAAGGAAAGTTTTGTGATAATATTGGTTGGACAATTCAATGCCAATATCTTGTACTCTGAGTTAAGATATCAAAACACAATGTATTAACAATTGTTACTCTCTTATTACCCTGTTTTGAAATTTTGTTTTCTTTCTTTTTCTTTTTAAGATAAAAAAAAGAGTAATCATTGAGCTATTTTAAAAAAAGATTATGAAAAAGAGTCAAGGAGAAATTCTGGATATGAAAAATTCAACTGGAAGTATGGCTAACATGTACAACCAATCATGTCAGAACTTGAAGAAAAGGCTGGTGTAGCAGATCATGGATGCAATGACTTAGATCTAAAACGGTCCCTAAAGCCTCATGTGTTTGGAAAGTGACTGGACTGTGGGGATATGACAGCTGACTTGCCAGTAGGAGGCAGGGTCTGCTCAGAAGAGGCAGGTCGCTGTGGGTGTGCCCTGAGAGGACACACCTCCCTGTCTGGCTCCTCCCTAGACCCTCTGCTTCCTGGCTGCCGTGATGTAAGCATCTTTTCCTCCTCTGTGCCCATCTGCCATGCTGTCCTGCCTTAAAGCCAATGAACTAGACTAAAAATGGGAGCCAAAAAACAACCTCTCTTCGTTTAGGTCATGGGTGGTGATTACTGTATCCTAGCAACAAGAAAGTGACTAAGACAATGTGCTAAGTATGCCTTAAAAACAAGACACCATGGAAACTGGATCCAACAGCTGCTAGATGATTAAAAAAATAAAAATATATTCACTAAAATCACAGCAGAAAATTTTCTAAATCTAGGAAAAGTACTCAAAATTCAGGTAAATAAGGCATCTAGAACCCCAAACAACCATTGCCAGCTAGTATTATTTGGACAGTTAAATTGTACTCTGAGTAACTAATTTAAAGATAGCAATATACAATGTATTAATCATTGTTACCCTCCTATTATCTTGCTTTGAAATTTTTTTTTTCTCTTTAAAAAAAAAGTTTATCATCATACAAAATGAACAGCTATGCAGGAAAAGCCCATTATCATGAAGTCTAAAAAATTTTAATGACTCTGGATCTTGGCTGGATGAAGAACATGGCTGGGTCTTAGAAATTTACAACACAGGGATTTTCTTCATCATTATTCAGTACCACCAACGGAGCATGCTTCTGGTAGAAGATCCTGCACTGCGACGATTGTACCCACAGTCCCTGGGATGCTTTATAAATGACTTTGAAAGATTTCTCCACTCCACATGACTCCACATTCTGAGATCCTTGTTCTCTAAGATATCTTAAATCCTTTATAAATAGACAGGCAGACATGAAGCCTGATGCTGTAAAAAATATAGCATCAAATTAAATTCTTGCATCAAGTCATTACTGCCTAAAAAAAAAAACTTACTATATCATTGGGATTGGAAACTTCTTTTTCCTTTAATTGTTACATATGTCTTATATAAGAGTATTACATACATTTGTAATAGCTTAAAGTAATAATTAATATATGTTAATATCTGAGGTACCAAATTCAAATGGAAAGTGTACAATAAAATGTTACATTATGGTTTGGGTCTAGGTGTCCCCCCAAACCTCATGCAGTCATAGGGCTTTCTCAGAGGTGGCTGAGTCTAGAGTGTGTGATGCTGGGATTAAGGGTGTGTGATTACTAAATCAGTCCACTGATTGGTTTGGTGCCACCCTGCTCCCTGTGGTCTGCATAAGATAAAAGGGACAGAAAGAGGCTTGTCCTCCCTTGTTGCTTTTTTTTGTTTTCTGCAGCCCTGAACTGTTTCTCCTTTGGGATGACCCTCTGCCTAGCCACCTTGGCTTAGAACCAACCAATTATGAACTGAAACCTCTACAAGCTGTGAGCTAAATAAACCTTTTCCCCTTTAACTTTGGGTGTCAGGTATTTTTTCTCAGCAAAAAGACAGAAGTAACTAAGACAGGTTACATATATACCAATCTCACTAAAAAAATAGATACCAAATGCTAAATACAAAATATTATCAAACCAAACACAGCAATATGTTTAAAGATTATTGCCAAGTAGTATTTTTATTTCTCAAGAAAGCAAGGGTATTTCAGTTCTAGACAATTCACAAATGTAATGTATCACATTAATAGATTATAAGAGAAAAAATAATAAAGA